GGCCTTTTTCAATTTTCTGAGTACGGGCCAAGTCTAGAACCAATGGAAATGGTATCCTTCATCCACAAGAGTATTCAAGAATACTTAGCGGCGTGGTACCTCATCAACATCTGTGTCCCTAAAGGTAATCTTGGTGAAATTGGACAGCACGCCGCCGCCTTGGAGAATTGCGAGGCCTTGGAAAATGTTTTTCAGTTCGTTTGTGGTTTGTCTGACGAAGGAGCAATAAAAGTACTTGAACACTTGAAATCAGTCAGAATCTCCGACCCAACACTGGATTTATCAAAGACGATACCGGACGTAGAAGCCGAGACTGACGTGCCTCTGTGTGACGTCACTGATAGGCGTAAGAGGTTCAGTAACTTGGTTCACGATTCCTTTCGAGAAGTTCAATCAAAAGCTGAACTCTTAAGTCATTTTCTTGATTGCACTGGTGGAGTCATCCTTGTCACCAGAAATAGGCCGCTTTCTGAACTTATGCCAAATGTTAACGTCTTGACTAAACTGGCACGTAATTGTGTTTTTGTTTTCGGCAAAGTTCATATACCTTTTCACACGGACGAATGCGTTGAAGACTCAGTATTGTACAAGTCATTTGATTTTCTCAATTGTTTGCAGACGCTACTAAGAGTAACTGACAGTTCTGACGTTCTCACAATTGAAGACTTCATGAGGAAGACCACTTTTAAAGGTTTATACTGCTGCTGGTTCGATTCCATCCTTTGTTTCCGTAATGGTCAGTTTCAGTTTTACATTACCAAGTTGTCCCTGTGGTGTGATTACCATGCCAGACTATTTACGGAATCTACTACGATTTCTGTTCCATCCACACGTTTGTGTTCAGAACAGTCATGCCTGAAATTCTTAAGTTCTCTGGATTGTCATAGCCTAAGCAGCCAATCAGTGAAATCTCTTGGTGCAGTCATTGGAAATTGTAAGCATTTGAGTAGGATTGAAGTTGAGAGTGGTGATGACTCCATATGTTATCTGTTGGAACAAGTGCGAAACCCCAGTAAGTGCTCTCTGAAGATTGACCGTCTTTATCTCTGGCCAGGTCACGGTGTTCGTCTTACATCAGTTGGAGCAGTGCAACTTGGCAGTTTGTTACCAAGATTTAACAACATCGTCTGTCTTCACCTTGACTTGAGAGACTGCTGTGCTGCAGCACTGGACACATTGGTTACTAGTATCACATACAAGACTCTCAAGAAACTGAAACTTCGGGTAGTAAGTCTGACTCCAGCAGCAGCTAAGACGCTCGGTCGGTCACTTCCAGAAATGTCGTCACTAAAAGAATTCAGGTTAACTGGTGTGGATGGAAACATTTTGCCGGCTGAGAAAATGGAGACGTTGTTTGGCGGATTTAACAAAACAAGGCCTTTGCACGGGCTTATTTTCACTGGTTTTAGCGTGAGAGGTCGTCTTGCTCCACTCTTCAGAGGCCTTCGCTTCTTCCCCAATTTGTTTAAGTTGAGGCTTAAAAAGTTAAACATGGATGAACAGGATTTACGTAGTTTGCTGGAGAGTTTTCAGTTCATTCCTAAACTACAGTCACTTTGCCTGTCCGACAATCCTCTCGGTCA